CGTGAATATTCGGTTTGGCCGTCGACGCGAAAGCATGGCCGGGAACTCCCCATGATTTTCTGCGCTTGGGATTATCGTAATGAACCCATTTTTCGTCCCCAGTCACAATGCGATGCAGAAAGCCTTTCCGTCTTTGCCTTTCAAGCAGCTGTTCACAAGCAAACACCGTTCAACATCTCTTGGCTTCAACTCGTACGGCACCCAATTTCCTTGCTTCTGAATCATTCCCATGATTTTGAGATGTTTTGAAATGGACTGACTTGTTGAGTCACTCCTAATGATCGTGCCAATTCTTTTGATTTTGACAAGAGTCTTGATCAAGTAATGCCTTCAATTCTGCATCTTCGAAAACCTTCTCTCTTCCACCGCTATGCTGGTCTTCGACGTGAAAATCACCATTCTTGAAGCGTTGAAACTACTTACAACACGTTCTTTCACTAAGCGGCTTCACCATAAATATTTGAGAGCATTCGATGAGCCTCAGCCGCAGATTTCTTCATATTGAAGCAGAAAATTAAAACCTCCTGCAAATGACAAGAATTTAGCTCGTAAACTGACATTTTCAATCGAGAATAACTTTATGATGCAGACACAAATCGACTAATGTTTCTATGGAGTTATGTTGACAGATGTCCAAGTTTATTGTGTGACGTCTATGATCTATTTATTTCGATCACCATTTACCGCTAAAGTCATCTATACGAAAAAGGTATAAGCAAAGTTATACACCTAATAGATAAAGGCATACAACTGAAACGCTAAACATATTTCTTGTCGAGAAGTTGGCCTATTCAATCTTTTTATCTGACATACTTTATAATGTCGAAAATATTAAATCGATATCGAATCGACGTCGATTCGATATCGATTTCATTTTTTACTGGGTTGGCACTGTCATTGTTCATTTCATTTTTTATTCAATATCTAATTTAAGACAGAAATTAAAAATGTTAGAAAAAGAAATAAAGATGCATTATAAAGTATATCAGACAAGGAAAGATTTGAGTAAGCTAACTTCTTAACATTAAATATGTTTCGCGTTTCACAGTTGGTAACTTTATATCCGTATTTATAGTCCTTCCTTGAGGAATGAGAATTGTTTCTTATTTCACGTTTTATCTTCCTTAATCAAATAAGAAACCTTATTAACTTCCTTTTCTCAAGGGAGGTTATGAGTTTTCTTGAGGAGGAGGTGTAGTTTTCATAACCAAGCAAATCTCCAAATTTAATTCGTCACACTAGTCTTTTTACTTTTGATAGCTTTTAATTTAAATCTGACGCATCGATAATTATTTTTGATAGCTCTTTTTCGGAAATAAATAACTCCTCTAAAAGCATTTTCTCCTTC